ACCAAAGCATTGTTTATATTTGCTCAACAATGATTTTATTCAACTAACAATATTGTCCAATCAAGGTAGTCGTTTTGTAATTATTAACAAATATACATTTGTCCCAACTAGAAGTCGCAAGTAATTTGCAGACTTGCGTGAACTAGATATTTATTTCGCCATATCCAACTATTCCACTTGGTCACTATAACCAAATCTTGGTAATTATAACTAATCCTTTTTCTGGGTGTAGTAACATTCACAGTTTAATAGTGGTTCAGATGAATGTTTGGTTGGTTTAAGTAGATTGTCACCCTGGTGACAAGCAAGTAACCAGTTTGCCATTTTGGTTCCACAACTCGTGCAACCTACAGCCATTTGGCCATTTGGCGGCTATAGTGAATTTCAGTACGTCATACAGAGAGAAGCAGCTGAACTCTGAAACATTCTGCAGGAATGGCTTGCCGAGTGTCTTAAGAGTCATCCTTGTGAGGGCTGGACACTCGCACAGGAAATGTACGACTGTACACTGAGAAAAAGGATTAGTTTCGACAACTAAAGATATTCAGGGCCATCACGGAATCCATCGTAGAAAATCAACGAATTCGAATGCCTGCTACGAATATGAAAAAATTGCTATCACTTATTCCGAGTGAACTCGAAAATATCGTTGCCAGCTTCGAATGCTGATCCGAAATCAGCTGGTGCAAAGGAAACAATAGACATTTATATATGCCATTTTGCTCAGGCTGCCCCAGCAGTCGCAATGGCCGAGTGAGCAAAGCACTAGACTGCCAATTGAGAGATCCGAGTTCGAGTCTGAGTCGTCGGACAGCGGCATTAAATAGCGTCTAGAGAAAACAATTCACTTTAAAATACAATACATATTTCTGTATAAGATTAGTTTATAATCAAGCAGACTGTCTGCTGTAAATACACTGAGAAAAAGGATTAGTTTCGACAACTAAAGATATTTAGTTCCCGAATTTTGACAATATTTCATCTAGGTTGTACCAAATCGTTAATCTAGTTGAAGGGTTTGGTAAATACTAATAAATATTTCTTTGAAGCATATTTCTGAAGCAGGTCAGCTTTCTTTCAACAAATGGTTTAGTCATAGTTACCAAATCTTAGTTGAGGCAACCACGATTTGGTTTGAGAGCGGAACATATTCATGCTTGTTAGCCACCCCTAAAGTATGCTGAGCGCTCTCTAAGCACATGCGTGTTTCACATACGAAGAGCGCCAGCTGAGTAATGCACACAGTCCCACTTATTGAATCGTTTAAATGTGCTAGTATGCCGACCATTATGGCGATCACTGCGCTAGGTAGAGAAAGAGAAGTGTGCGCTATGACATGCCCATACTTGTTTGTCTCAGTTTCAGTTTTGCTATCGCCGCGAGTTGTTTCGGTGCGCGCATAGTTATTTAAAAATATAAAGTTTGATGCCAACCGGGGTTTCTCAGCAGATAAGCATTATATTTAAACTAGAACTTCCAGCAATACGTTACGTATGTTGGCGAAGGCGGACGTGTCATTATTGTGCTCTGCGGTTTTTTAGTGTTTACAATTCGAAATGGACTCATATTGAACCAAATTTAACACAATAATATAAAATCAATGTGCTTAAGAGACAGTGACTCTAATTAAATAAATATTCAAATATTTATCTTAAAAGTTCATACTAAATTATATGTATAAATGCCGTGTGTATGTGAGCAAAAAGTTGATCGCAACCAATCCAAAGTGCAGTGTGGGGAATGCAACGACTTTTTTCATATGGATTGTGTTAGTATTTTACCAGCCGATTTAGAATTTTTGATTAACTCTAATAACAATTACTTCTGCGATAACTGTGCGGCCGTTCGCCGAAAATCCATCCTTTCTCCCCCTCTTTCCTTTGGTAGTGATGAGAGAGCTACATCTAAAAATGCAACATCAACTAATTCTCCAATCCCAGCCCAAACGAATGTAATAGTTCCGCCGCAACAACAATTGCTTAAATCGGTAACAAGTCAACAACGAAATGAGAATAAAAACGACGATAATTGTATTTCTATGTCCACTTTACTCAGTGAGGTTGTTGCTCTAAAATCCTAGCATACTCGATAATCCGACAAACATCTTTTGATCACAAAAATTGATGAACTGCGTTTTGAAATAAAATCTATGCATAAACTCTATGCTGAAGATGTCGCTTCTGTCCGCACGCTGGTTACGGCAGAGTTTAGCAAGCATCGTGGCTGTTTACACACATGTGGCATGATCATGGTAATAAAAGGATAAAAGGAAAAAGTGCACAAAACGAAGCTAAGCATCAAGCTATTTCTCCCTCGCCTGCGCTTAACATACCTTCAGCCTCGCTTTCTCCCGCTATTGACATTGCTAATCGTTCAATTCTTACCGAGCAAATAGTCGTTCCCGAGGACTCGTCTACTGTGATACCGGCAACCGTGCATTATGTCTCCGACGCTGCTACGTGCACAGCTAAAAAGAGTAATGAAGCTGTTAATGTTCCAGCCATGATACAAAAAGAAGGTAGTTTCAATAAACAACTTTTGAGAGATAATAAAATTTTTTGAAGTTTCATAAATTGTGAGCATTCTCAACGGCCTAGCCACTTTGATAATATTAAAACAATAAATCGGGGTATTTTCTTTCCCACATTTATCCCAATTTAACAATATTTCAAATCAAAAATCATTATTAGTGTTTGGTAATTTTTTTTACTTACATGGTTCGCACATTTTTTTTATTAAAAATATATAAAATGTGTAATGTTAACGGAGACGTCATTGAAATTGTTCTTTTTATTTTATAATAAAAATCACGAGAGCATTATGTTGTTATTTTTTCATTTTCTTATTTTGAATTTAAAAATCAAATTCTAAAGAATGCTCTTTCCAAATAAATCTTTTTATAATCGCCAATTCCATGTGAATAAATTGTTCTCATAACTTAACATGCAAAACAAAAACAAATGTGGGAAAATTATTTTTGTTTTACTTTATAATTTTTGGGAATATTTGTTCACATGAAATTCGCGATTCGTGATGGAATTCGTGAAAATTTACTTTTAAATTTCTCATCAGATTTCGCAAAAAATTAGGCTTTGTGGTTTGCGTATCACCATTAACTTCAACAAATTTCGAATTTAAAATATCCAATGTATGCAAAAAACTTGAATTCGGCTTGCGTATAACGCCCTTCGATAAGCAATTAGCATAAGTATAATTTTGATCACTTTGTTCATCCGTTCTGAAACCTAGTTTCGTCAACCCCATTTTGGAGATTATGCATTAATTTTCAGAATCATCATATTCGACATCTTTGAGTTGACTGATGAAATCTTCTGCTTAAAAAAAAAAAATATAACTGCTCGTGATAAGGTAGCATGAATTTAATGAAATGTCATAATTTTATTAAAAGTCAAATGGTTAACAACAACAACGAATGTCATTAAATGAAACTACCTTCTTTTTTGTATCATGGTTCCAGCTATACCAGCTGATCTAAATAAAGCATCGCATGCTACCGCTGCTTCTGTTTCTGGCGCTGCTATACCTGTATCCTATGCTGACGTCACTCGTTTGGCTAATACAGCTGATCAAAACACAGCCTCAAATGCTACCGCTGTCTCTGTTTCTGCCGCTGCTTCTGCCTCTGCCGCTATAATTTCCAATAAACCCAGCGAGAAATTGAAAGCACAAAGCATCGTTGGCTGTAATAACAGTGTCGAACTAGATGTAGCTCATAGGATGAAATGGTTACACTATCATCCTTTAAGCCCTCAGTCACTCCAGAAAACATCGTCACATATGTCTCAAAGCATTCATCCATCGATTCGAATGTGATTTCTTGCTATAGGCTTGTCATAAAAGATGTCGCCGTTGAATCTTTGAAACGAGTCAACTTTAAGTTAGGAGTTTCCTCAAACTATTACGACGCTTTACTTAATTCGGCGCTTTGGCCAGCTGATGTAAAAATACGACCATTCGAATTTTTTCAACAACTAGGGAATGGAGAAGTAACAACATAAATGCTGTACCTCAAGCTGTGTCCCATTCTAAGATATCGCTCTTAGAATATACGTTATACTACCAAAATATTAGCGGCATGCGCACCAAATCTGCAGACTTTTATCAATGTACCTCGCTACATGAATATGATATTATCGCTATAACTGAGACATGGCTGAATGATAATATATCCTCATCGGGCTACTTTGGTAGCTATTATCAAGTGTACAGAAAGAATCGCTGTCCGAAGGCTACTGGCTTCAAAAAAGGCGGTGGTGTACTACTAGCAATTAGAGCGGATCTGCGCTGCAAGGAAATTAAAATTAAAAATGCTGAAGGCGAAATAGAGCATATCTGTGTCAGTGTTTTGATTTCAAATAATAAATCTGTTGTATTTATTTTGTCATATATTCCTGACTATAGAGATTTAGATATTTATCAGAAACATTTAGATAATTTAGTCCTCGTAACATATGTTGTTAATTATAACGAGATAATTTATCTAGGCGATTTCAACTTAAGTAACCTGTGTTGGTCAAACCATAGTAATAACTTGTTACCAACAAACATCAAATCGGATATCGATATATTGTTTGTTAGCGCTCTACTTTCACATAATCTTAGGCAGTGTAATCCAATATTTAATAACAACGAAAAAATTCTTGATCTCATATTCACTTCCAATGATCTAAAAATTTCTTGTGAAGAATGTGAAGCGCCTATTTCAAGAAATACGTTGCACCATAAAGTAATACGAACTAATTTTAAAATCTACGATTACGATACTTTACCTACTACTAAATCGCAAGTATATAATTACCTAACAGGAAATTACGTGGCAATTAATGAGTTTTTCAAAGAAACAGACTGGGAGTTTTTGAGCTCATCAGACGATCTGACGGCTTCATATGAGACTTTTTGTGGGAAGCTCTCCTACACAATCTCTAGCTTCGTGCCTTTAAAAATAGTAAAAATGCATAATAAACCGCCATGATTTAACTCTAAGCTATGCAACTTAAAAAATGTAAAAAATAAAGCGTTCAAAAAATACAGATCGAGCAGATCCGAAGTAGATCACCAGCATTATCACAGATTGAGGAAAGAGTTCGACAGCCTGCACAACGTCTTGTTTAAAGAATATATGGTTTCTGTTGAAACAGAGCTTAAATCTAACCCAAAAAGCTTTTGGAATTTTATTAATTCTAAGAGAAAATCAAATGGGTTTCCATCAAGCTTGTCGTATGGTGAGTGTTCAGAATAATAGCGATTACGCCAAGTTCGAACACTGTTGTTTGCTTGATTGCTTTCAAGTGATCTTTATTGAATTAATGATTACGTTTTTATACAAACTAAATGCTTACGTAGCTAAATAATAAGGGCATAAAAACTTTGGATAGTAAGCAAAATTATTGTAAAGGCTTTATTCCCACGTTTTGCTTTACATAAGCATAATTAATGCAAATGCTTTATTCCCACGTTTTTGTTGACATAAGCATATTCCACATTTTGCGTCTACTTTCATTTGCGTGCATTAATCAACAATGTCTTATATGTAACTTGACACATGCCAAATTATTTGGCTATAAGAAAACACTAAAAGGCATAAAGTGCACGCTACGCATAAAAGAATGCAAGCGAAAATTAATACCCTGTTGAATAAAGCCAATGCAATATTAATATGTCG